ATATCATTGTGAATGAGGGGGAGTGCAGAGTAGGGACCCAAAGCCCATCTGTAGGCAATTGCACATTCCCTTACAGAGGGGTCGCAGGGAGGAGACGAGCCAGTCAGGGGGCAGTGTAACAATGATGAAACATACAACTTTCCTCTAGTTCCTAAATGCTTCCCTCCCCACCCACTATTATGATCTCAATTCTACCTTACAAATCTGGCTAGACCAGAGGATGTACACTGGTACACATAGGAACTGGAAATACAGGGAATCCAGAACAGATGATCCCTTCAGGACCAGTGCTGAGAGTGGCGATATCGGGAGGGGAGGGTAGAGAGGGGGAAAAGATTATAAGGATCTACATATAGCCTCCTTCCTGGGGAACGGACAGCAGAGAGGTGGGTAAGGGGAGATGTCGGACAGTGTAAGATATGACAAAATAATAATTTATAAATTATCAAGGGTTCATGAGGGAGGGGGTAACAGGGAGGGGGAAAATGAGGAACTGATGCCAGGGACTTATATGGAGAATGTTTGGAGAATGATGAGGGTAACGAATGTACAAATGTGCTTTATACAATTGATGTATGTATGATATGTGATGTGATAAAGAGTTGTATGAGCCCCCAATAAAATGATTCAAAAAAATTAATGAGGTTGTGGGAGATTATAACTTATACACTGATGATGGGATTGTAAAATGGAACCACCACTATAGAGAATGGTATGGTGCTTCCTCAAAAATCTTGAAATAGATATGTGACCTAGCAATCTCATTCCTATCTATATATCCTAAAGAAATAAGAGCAGTGACACAAATAGACATAAGTGTGCTCATGTTTACTGCAGCATAATTCATAATAACAATGTGATAGGTAGGTTTATTGTGCCAACCTGGCCAATGAACGCATGTGGGATTAACTGAAGGGCAGTTTAATTGAAGTGCAGTTTAACCAAAGGGTGGAGACATAAATGGTTCCACGAGCCTCACCTTTCTTGTCTCTTGCTCGTTGATGATCAGACCAGTGTGCTGCTGCCTTAGCTGGTTCTCTGCCTCAACCTGCGAACTATACT